GGCGCTCCGAGAGGCCCGGAGAGAGGCCGAGAGCGCCCCAAAACTCTCGATCCTCGTACCTTTTGAGTCCCCAAAGGTCTGGGTAAGAGGGGGGGCGGGAGGAGGAGGGGGAGGAGGAGGAGGAGGAGGAGGAGGAGGAGGAGGAGGAGGAGGAGGAGGAGGAGAAGAAGAAGGGGGAGGGCCATTACGGAGCCCCTGGGTAAAGGAGGACGAGGAGGAGGAGGAGGAGGTTGTTGGGGACGGGCCTAAATCCAAGCAGGTGTGCTCACAGAAAATCAGACGCCTCTGAGTCCGACCCCGCGCCGTAGATCCCCCCCGCGACCACCCAGTGCAGGTCATAGCGAGCACCCCAGTGTAGGTCATCTTCTGGCAACCCGATCTTGGTCAAAAACGTGCTCGCGGGAGGCAGAACCAGACGGCACAAAGCCGTACCCAGCAGACCCGACCTCTTCGGCCCCTGGGCAGGAGGAGGAGGAGGAGGAGGAGGAGAAGGAGGAGGAGGAGGAGGAGGAGGAGGAGGAGGAGGAGAGGAGGAGGGGGGAAAGAGGTGGAGGGGAGGAGAGGAGGAGGAGCAGGAGGAGGAGGAGGAGGAGGAGGAGGAGGAGGAGGGAGGAAGGAGGAGGAAGGAGGAGGAGGGAGGAGGGAGGAAGGAGGAGGAAGGAGGAGGAGGGAGGAGGGAGGAGGGAGGAGGAGGAGGAGGAGGAGGAGGAGGAGCAGGAGGAGGAGGAGGTCCCTGTGCTCAGCGAGGTCCAGGCCCCTCGGGGCCACGAGGGTCAGGCCTTTCCGCTCCCTGCAAGACGTAAGCTTACGCTTGCGAGTTCGACGGAGCTGGTCGGCTGGACCGCCCGTTCCACCTCTCAGCTCATGGCAAGCATCCTTGAGAGCTTCACTGCCAGAACCTCCGCAGGTGAAAACTCCACACATCCAACAGGAGCATCACTTCCTCAGCGTAGAGAGGAGGAGGAGGAGGAGGAGGAGGAGGAGGAGGAGAAGAAGAAGAAGAAGAAGAAGAAGAAGAAGAAGAAGAAGGAGAAGAAGAAGAAGAAGAAGCAGGAGACGGGGGAGGAGAAGGAGGGGAAGGAGGGGACGGAGGAGGAGGAGGAGGAGGAGGAGGAGGAAGAAGAGGCCCACCGTTCCCAGGGGGAGGAGGAGGAGGAGGAGGAGGAGAAGGAGGAGGAGGAGGAGGGACCAGTGCAAACCCAACATTCATCAACGATGTTGGAATGCACTCTCCCTCCAAGATCCCTCTTCACAGGCCCATACAAGGGTTCATGTCCACTACAGAAAACGCAGCGTTGAGCGACAACCGTGCGAAAATCCTTACGCGCACTGAAACACCATTCTCGGAACTTCAACGCCACGAGTGAACCTGACTGCTGCGCCTTGACAATCCTGAACCGTGCCAAACAACATTCCTGGGACTTTAAAACCGCTACTCAGAGTAACTGCTGCGCCCTGACAATCCTGAACCGTACCAAAACACCATGTCTGGTTTGGTAGCAACGAGAATAAATGAAACTCTTTGGTAATAACGGCGCTGAGGCGAGAGCCACAATTTCAAAAGAAGCCGCCCTCACTCCGTGAAACTCGTGAAAGTTTGTTTAGACGAATGTACGCGGCGCTCACGCGAGAGCCACATTTTGAAAACGGCCCGACCTCGATCCGTGAAGCTTCTGCAACTTGTGAAAATAAATGCGCGCGGCGCAAATTCAAGAGCCACATGTTGAAAACCAACCGCCCTCTTTATACGAAATCCTGGCCATGTGTTTAACTAATGTGCGAGGCGCTAAGGCGAGAGCCACATCTTGAAAACGGCCCGCCCTCAATCAGCGAAACTCTTACAATTGCTTAAAGCGAGTGCGCGCGGCGCTGAGGCCAGAGCCACAGATTGAAAACACACCGCCCTCCATCTATGAAATTCGAGTTAGTTTTTAAGCCTCAGGCTCAGAAACAGTAAGGAAGTCTCAGGTGAAACGCCCAGGCCTCGGGGTGCGACACGGAGGAGTTCTTCAGAAGGAAAGGAAATTGAGGAGGAGGAGGAGGAGGACGACGACGACGATTAGGAGGGGGAGGAGGAGCAGGCGGAGGAGGAGGAGAAGGAGGAGGAGGAAGAGGAGGAGGAAGAGGAGGAGGAAGGCGGAGGAGGAGGAGGAGTGAGGAGGAGGACGAGGAGGAGGAGGAGGAGGAGGAGGAGGAGGAGGAGTGAGGAAGAGGAGGAGGAGGAGAAGGAGGAGGAGGGAGCAGGAGCAAGAGGAGCGAAAAGGAGGAAGGAGGAGGAGAGGAGGAGGAGGAGGAGGAGGAAGCAGGAGCAGGCGGAGGAGAGGGAGCGGGAGAAGGAGGGCGGAGGCGGCCACCTTGGCAAGCGCCATCCTGGGCAGGCGCGGCGGCGGTGCGCCCACTGGCGGCGCCGCGCGCGCGGGCGAGCGCGGCCGGCACGACGCCATCGGCGCGCTGGCCAGGCGCCTGGCGGACGGCCCTCGCACGCGCCGCAAGGCGGCCGCTGCAGGGCGCGCCACAGGGCGCGCCACCAGGGCCGCCGCGGCCGAGCGGCTCGGGCCAACGCGGCTGTAGGGGGACGGCGGCGGCGACGGCGGCGACGACGGCGGCGACGACGACGACGACGACGACGACGACGACGACAACGACGACGACGACCCTCTGCGCGGGCGCCTCGAGAGCGAGCCGCCCTCTCGCCAAAAGTGTGCGCTCGGAGGCCGCGCGCCCGACGAAGACGCGCGCTCGCGGAGCGCGCGCGGGGGCCCCGGGGGACGCCGGCCAGCCAGGCCTCCCACCCACCTGTGCTTCACTGATTTTTGGATTCGCGGGTCGAGAGCGCACCTCTTCCGGTCGAGGCTAAGCGGGCCGCGCACAGCTTTAGTTAACAAAGGGGGGGGCAGAAGGAGGGGCCTCACGTCAAGGCCAGGAGGGGGCAAAGCCCCAGAATCAGGCGGTGCCGAAGATGATGTGCTTGCAAAGGAACGCCTGTACAGGAACCCGGCGGCGAAGTACCGGAAGAAGCAAAATGCTGTGGTTGGTGGTGCCGTCGACGGCTGTCCTTCACAGACAAATACAATGGAGGTCAATCCACGAGAAACCTTCCGTGAGAAACCCAACCCAGAGACCCCAGGACGTCCATTGATTTTTGGCGTGGGAACGTCACGCCTTCCATCGCAAAACCATCGAAACCCAAGAAACCCAGGGCACCCTGCAGGCAAGCAAGGTGTTTCTTGGCATGGGTCTCCACTGTAAGACGCCCGTAAGCAAAGCCAAATTCAGGAATAGCAACACATGTTGCCCAGCGTGGGCCCAAAACAGTGTGTTTTAGCATGCTGCGCTGTGCGAATTATGTGGTGCGAAGCTACGAGGTGCTATCTATGTAGTGCAATACACGCGGTGGCCGCTATGTGGAGCAAGCTATGCGGTGCAATATATGCGGTGCAGTCTGCGTGGTGCAATCGATGTCATGCAGTCCATGCGGTACGAGCTACGGTATGCAAGCAATGTTCTAGGTGGTGCGATCCAAATGGCGTGACTTTGTGGGGGGCAAGGTATGTGGTGCAATCTGTGTGGTGCAGTCCACCTGGCAGAAATTGAAATTGCCAACTTCCCTTCTCACACAATCATCCCACCCTCCCACTCGCAACTCGGTTTGCAAAACCCATGCGGCCGCGACTGCGATGACATCGTAGCCATGGCTGGCGCATCTCTGCGGCCGCTCGCGCGCGCAAGCTCGCGCGCAGAACGGCCAGCTGGTTTGGCACAGCCGATGCGGCCGCGATGGCGCTCACCCATGGCAACGTCCAAGCGCGCGTCAAAGGCCGCGATGGCTCGTGGGCACTTCGATGCGGGTCGGTGGCGCGGGCGGGCACGGTATCATGAGAACGTCGACAACAACGGCAACGATGATATAGATAGTAGCGATGGTGGTGACGATTATGACGATGGCGCCGGCGAGCAAATGACGGTGCCGATGCTGGCAACGTCGATGCCGATGAGGATGTTGTCGATGACGAACGTTTTGGAAGGATTTCGACATGCGCGCGCGGCCGACGAGCGCGCGTGGCCCGCATGGTCTCATTTGACAAAGATCGTCTCCCCCCCCGCAGCACGCGCTCAAAGGCGTCCGAATGATTTCGCCATGCACGCGAGAAAGGCCCGCGTGGTCTCACTTGACGAAAAGATTGCAAGCCTGTCTTCCTAAGAATCCACGAGAGTGACCGCGCAGATGTTTCGACATAACTCAATGTTGTTTCATAGGTGTTCGGAAACCTCGGTCTTGAAAGTCTTACGCGAAACTCACAGTTTGGGAAGGAATACGACATACGCGCGCAACGACGCGCGCGTGTGGACGACCTACCACGTGCTGCAAGATATTACTGAAAAATGATTGTTGGTAAACGAATGCGCGCGCATACCGTTTTCCTGACAGGGATGAAAAGGGAGCGATCAGGGTACCCCCCTGGGATGGTATGAACTGTTTTGCAAAATAAGAGGTGAGGCAGAATCAGGTGTAAACTGTATTCTCCATGGGGAAGCAATAAGTCCGGGCTCGGAAGGGTGGTAGAGTGCATCTCTCCTCTGTTCTAAAAATTAGACGGGGAAACACAATATGTTGTGCAAGCAATGTTGTGCAATATATATGGCGGTAACTATGTGGCTCTTCCTACGAGGTACCACATACCTGGTGCAATATATGTGGTGCAATGTACGTGCTGCAATATGAGAGGTGCAGTCGATGTCAAGTGATAGGTGTGGTGCCATATATGTGTTGTAGTAAACAGATTGTGTAAGCTGCGTGGTGCAGCATATGCGGTGCAGTCTACGTGGCGCAATGCATAGCAATGCCACACAATGCGACTGCAATGCAACGCAATGCGATTGCAACGTAATGGGACTGCAGTGCAACGGGGGGGGCACAGTAGGTCGTCGGCGGCGGGCGGCGACGGGCGGCGACGAGGCGGCGACGAGGCGGCGACGAGGCGGCCACGAGGCGGCCACGGGCGGCGACGGGGCGGCCAGGCCGACAACCAGGCCCTGGCGACGGGCGCGACGAGGCGGCGACGTCGCGGCGACGGGCGGCGACGGGGCGGCCAGACCGACAACCAGACCAAGGCGACGGGCGCGACGAGGCGGCGACGAGGCAGCAACGGGCGGCTACATGCCGGCCAGACCGGCCGTCAGGCACAGGTCCTTAGAACAGATATGAAGAAACCCTAAGTGCAAGCACCGTTTGGGGAACGAAACGGAGGCAGGCTGCTGCTGGCTCGTTTGCGAGGGACGCTCCTGGGCCTCACACAGGAGGAGGAGGAGGAGGAGGAGGAGGAGGAGGAGGAGGAGGAGGAGGAGGAGCAAAGGAGGAAGGAGGGAGGAGGAGGAGGAGGAGGAGGAGGAGGAGGAGGAGGAGGGGGAATGGAGGAGGAGGAGGATGGGAGGAGGAGGAGGAGGAGGAGAGCGAGGATGAGGAGGAGGAGGAGGAGGAGGAGGAGGAGGAGGACGAGGAGACGAGAAGAGGAAGAAGGAGGAGGAGGAGGAGGAGGAGGAGGAGAAGGAGGAGCAGCAGCAGCAGCAGGAGGACGAGGAGGAGGAGCAGGACGAGGAGGAGGAGGAGGAGGAGAAGAAGAAGGAAGAGGAGGATGAGGAGGTTGCCCTCTTTCGCCCCTATCGACTTTACCAGCTTGCGCCCGCGGCGCGGCCTGCAGAGGCAAAAAGAGGATGATGCGGAGGAGGAGGAGGAGGAGGAGGAGGAGGAGGAGGAGGAGGAGGAGGAGGACGAGGAGGAGGAGGAGCAGGAGGAGGAGGAGGAGGACGAGGAGCAGCAGAAGGTTCAGGTTAAGCGCGCTGGAGGCGAGTCCGAACGGCGGCCGCTATACCGCAGACCACGCGACTGCCAGATGCCCCTGCGAAGAAGTGAACGCGGGCCCCGCCCTCGCAGGGGCCTGCCTGGGGCAGCCCCCGGGGGGGCTTCATCCGGCGGCGAGCGAGGGGTGAAAGCGAGGAGGAGAAGGCCTTCTCAGAATCAGAATGAAGGCTCGGAAGTCCCCCGGCCTTCTGAGAAGTGCTCTACGCTTTCCCCAAAGGCACTAATTACTCCGACGGAAGGACCCCACATGAGAATCTCTTTAGCTTGCATGGGGGTATCCTCCTGCCCCCTCCCTTCTCCCACCTACTCTTGCCTCCTCGTTCTCCTCCTGTCTGCTCCTCCTCCTGCCTCAACCCCTGCCTCTTCCTCCTCTTCTTGCCTCCTCCACCTCCTCCCCCTCCCCCTCGTTATGCTTCCTCCCCCCCATTCCCCTTGCCCCTCCTGCCTCCTGCCTCCTCCTCCTGCTCTCCCTCTCCCTTCTCCTCCTCCTCCTCCTCCTCCTCCTCCTCCTCCTCCTCATCCCCTGTCCTCCTCCTCTCCCTCTCCCTCATCCGCTTCCTCCTCCTCCTCCTCCTCCTCCTCCTCCTCCTCCTCCTCCTCCTCCTCCTCCTCCCTCCTCGTTTCCATATTCCTCCCCCCTTCCTCCCTCCCCCTCCCCTCCTCCTCCTCCTCCTCCTCCTCCTCCTCCTCCTCCTCCTCCTCCTCCTCTCCTCCTCCTCCTCCTCCTCCTCCTCCTCCTCCTCCTCCTCCTCCTCCTCCATCCTCCTCCTCCCCCCCCTCCTCCTCCTCCTCCTCCTCCTCCTCCTGCCTCCTCCTTAGGCCTCCTGCCCCCTCCTGGGGCCTCCTGGGGCCTCTTGGGGCCTCCTGGAGCCGTCTGGGCCTTCCGGGACCTACTGGGGCCTCCTCGGGCATTCCTCCTCCTCCTTTTCCTCCTCGTCCTTCCTCCCCTCAGCCTCTTCCTCTTCCTGCTTTCCTGTCTCGTCCTGCATCATCCCTCCTCCTTTTCCTGGCAATCCTCCTCCTCCTCCTCGTCCTCGTGCGGAACACGACCCAGAGGAAGCGCACGACGTGCGTCCCAGCCGATACGCGCCGGAGGACGACCCAGAGGAAGCGCGCGCCGGAGGATGACCCGGATGAACCACGTGAGCTGCGGGACCCATAGGAAGGCTCCCGCCTGACGCGTCCTCACAATTCACTCACAGACGAGGGTCCCGCTTGATACTTCTTCCAAATTCAGACCTGAGGAGCCCAAAAGTGACGACGGTTACAGGAATCCGATGACCCGCTCGGATTAGTAACATGATCTGCGGGCCCCATAGGGAGGGGGCTCCCGCCTGAGACTTCCTCACAATTCACTCACAGACGAGACTCCCGCTTGATACTTCCTCCAAATTCACACCTGAGGAGCCCAAAAGTAACGACAGTTACAAGAATCCGATGACCCGCTTGGATTAATAACATGATCTGCGGGCCCCATAGGGAGGGGGCTCCCGCTTGAGACTTCCTCACAATTCACTCACAGACGAGGTTCCCGCTTGATACTTCCTCCAAATTCAGACCTGAGGATCCCAAAAGTGACGACAGTTACAGGAATCCGATGACCCGCTCGGATTAATAACATGATCTGCGGGCCCCATAGG